CACCGTGAGCGGTTCGTACATCTTTATGCGGAATTTGAAGATGCGCAAAGGGCGAATGGCGATTTCCGCGAGTGCCGGGGCGTAGACGGAGGTTTACATCTTACCCAAAAGTCGGATTATTCGTATGAGGTTGAGGTTGCGAAGGAAACAACGCGTCCGGGTAAGAGAGAGAACAAGAAAAACGAGTTCGTCAATCCCGGGAAGCGTATGTGGGATCAGTGGAGTCCCATTGTGGTGTCGCCAGATTCAGTCGAAGGTGGACCTGGGATATCGGATGTGGATGGTGAAGTCGATCAGTCTGCGTTTGACGACTTCAATGTGTGATGTTATTAGTTTTTATATTTTGTTGTTGTTTTTCCGGGACTGGCCGTTGGTGGCTTTGAATCCCTACCGCTGGGCGGTATGTACTTGAATGCTTTCTAATAAGAAAATATTTTCTAAGTATGAAATTCGTGTTTCGTTTTAGATGTAGAGGGAAGAATACGAGTTGTCATCTCGTATCTAACTCTTTGGTGTAAATCGTTCGATTCGTTAACTTGGGAGGTTTCGATGTTCGCGAGTGTTTAGATGTGGGCGAAGAGACATGCCTTTAGGATCTCGATACATGCCTTGAAACGTTAGCGACCAGTGTGCTGGGTTTAGGGCAAGACCTAGGTTTACTTTCGGATTGGGGCTGTGCGATGACTAGTCGGCTTTCGTTTTGCCTGTTGCGATTTTAACCTGACTCCATACCGATTTAAAATCCGCGATAGGTTCTCGGCTTATACGATTCGTATGGTTGGAATCGAGCATCTCACCGGGAACAATTTCTAAGTTGCCCGGAAGTGCTGACCAAAAATTTGGATTTTTTTTATAGCGCGCTATTTTATCCTAGTCGGATGTATGCGGACCGATAGGTCGATGCGTTTGTTTAGGACGGCTAGCGTGTTTGACGGGGCCAATCGCCGAGCGTTCGTGTTTTTATAGTCGCGGACGGACTTGGGGAAATATTTTTCTTGAGATTTTAGGCGACGTCTCGCCAGTTCTTTCTGAAAATATTTTGATATGCAGGTTGTATAAAAACGAATTAATAGTTGTTACTGCGGAAGCGGTTTTCCGGATGTTTGGATTTTTTTTTGCGTTTTCGATAGTAGCGGAGATATTCTAACTTTGTCTTTATTAAAAATTTCAAAAAAATTTCGATTACAAAGGAAATTTAAAAAAAAAAAAAAATTTGGGAGTATACGAATACTTGTATACTCACCCACTACCCCCCCCCCCCCCCGTTTTGGAAGGGGGGATAGCTGAACTCGTCTTTAGGCGAGCTGCCTACGTATTCCTTTCGGAGATCAAGCCATCTTGTAGTTCTGATTGTTTGCGCGAGTGTGCTTACTCGGCTGTCGCAGACTTCTCGATCGCTTCAATTGCGGGATCGATGTCTTTGTCTGGAATTGTCTCTTCCGGCCGGGTGGAAGCGATGGGTGCGGAAACTTCTGGTTTCTCGGCCGTTGCTTGCTTTGGATCGTCTTCTGCGGGCGGTGGCGTGACCTTTGCTCGTTTTGGTTTCACGATTGCTATTGCCAATTGCCTCAGCTTATGTTCGGCCAGGAAGCAAGATCGCGATTGTCTTTGGCATCCCTAGATTTCTGCGACTCCCGTAGGTGTTGGGAATTTGATGCCTAGATATGTTGACACAACCGCCTTCATGGAATTTATCCAGGGCGTTCCCATAATCACGTTGTAGATAGCCGGGAAATCGACTACCGCGAAGTTAACGATTTTCGTCACTTTTATCGTAGAATTCAAACGATAGGTCGGATCGAGACGAAACGAGAGACGTTTCGGCCGTGGTTCAGAATACGACCGTGTCGAAGGACGTAAGGTTCGAATCGGGGCTGCGGGAGATCCGGGAGGTCTCTAGTTCGCCTGCTGGCGAACTAGTTGGAAGCTTCTAGTTCGCCTGCTGGCGAACTAGTCCGGGACCGTCTAGTTCGCCTGCTGGCGAACTAAGCCAGCCTGGCTTAGTTCGCCAACAGGCGAACTAGTTGGTGAGCCTTTAGTTCGCCTGCTGGCGAACTAAGCCAGCCTGGCTTAGTTCGCTAGCAGGCGAACTAGTTGCGACTAGTTCGCGCTTCGTGGCTGTTTCGGTCTTTCGCGGTTTTGTAAAACGATTTCTCGAGTTTTATTAAACGGCTTCTCGAGTTTTATAAAACGATTTTCGAGTTTTATAAAACGGCTTCTCGAGTTTTATAAACGACCTTCGAGTTTTATAAAACGGCTTCTCGGGTTTTATAAAACGATCTTCGAGTTTTATAAAACGGTTTCTCGAGTTTTATAAAACGATCTTCGAGTTTTATAAAACGGCTTCTCGAGTTTTATAAAATGACCTTCGAGTTTTATAAAACGGCTTCTCGGGTTTTATAAAACGATCTTCGAGTTTTATAAAACGGCTTCTCGAGTTTTATAAAACGATCTTCGAGTTTTATAAAACGGCTTCTCAAGTTTTATAAAACGACCTTCGAGTTTTATTAAACGGCTTCTCGGGTTTTATAGAATGACTTTTTGGGTTTTATAAAACGGCTTCTCGAGTTTTATAGAATGACTTTTGGGGTTTTATAAAACTATTCCTTTTATATTTTTGCGGGGAGTTTTGGCTATTGATTCCGTCGTACCGATTTTGACCCCAACACATTTTGGTTGTAAACATTATTTATAAAAAAAATTAATTTTATAACTGATCTATTATACTGTGGACAACCAAATTTTTTTTCAAAAATCAAACAATAGACATCTCAAACTATATAACATATGCGTTGGAATATCCAAACCAAAACCTTCCTTAATTTGGGCTAATTTAGTGTTTCGACACATTCAGTATGGAAGATTACTGACAACGAACACACAGGGTCTAACATGACTTTCCAACTACTAATAAGTTATCATCAAGACATCAACCAAACTTCTGTTGATTTGACCTTCCCCACCAAACAACAAACAGTAAACAAACGTTTCCATATTGGCTAAGTAATAATAATAAAATTTAATAAGAAGATATATGCTTATACTTATAAAAATCAATATATATATATATATTATTGTACAAAAGCAATATTAAAATTCAAGCTTAAATTTTTATGCAAATGACATTAAGTTAGATAATTAAAAAATTATAAATTAATCTGAATAAAAAGAAAATTATCCGCGTGTAGCGCGGAAATGATCTAGTAGAAGTAATATGTTCAAAATAATGTAATAAAATTTAAGTTAGAAATAACTTCTTCCTTCATGAGCTTTTAGGAAAAATCAAATTTCGTAAGGAAACGTTTTCTTAACTGATGTATAAGATGGCAACGAAAAAAAAAGGATGTAACAAAATTCTGAGGTTAAGAATTTATAAAATATTTAGAGTGGATGAATAAGAAAAATCAAACAAATTATAGATGAGCATCTATCTCATCCCTTCATGAAGTAAGTGGGCCATAGTTTAAGGCCCAAAAGTCACGTGCATTTGCATTTCATGGCCAATAATCCATGATGAGAGCATTTTTAACTTGCAAAATAATGAATGGTCCAGAATGACAATTCTATTATTATTCTAGTAAGTTCTTTCTTATTGCTGACAAAAAAAAAGTTCTTTCTTATTTAATAGAGTTGTGAGAAGGATGGTGATGACCAGTGGCAGAGCCATCTTGTTGACCCCCATTTATTGTGGTAAACTGGTGAGAACTTCCCTTGTTTACCCTCATGTCTTGTGTTCAAACTCACCTATATTTTTTTAAACTATAATTATGACGTCTATAAAATGATATCTAGCTCCGCTACTGGTTATGACACATAAGCATTAAATTCAATATGATAATTTAAATAAGGCTTCTCATTTAATATATAGAAGATATATTAAACATGAAAACATGAATTTTATTACTAAAACTGTTAAACATCTCTTTTAAACTATTGTGATCAAGGTCTAATTTTTTTTATAATAAGTTACAACGATTATAAAATCATATGAATAAATAATTGTATTTTAATAGGTTTTTATGTTAATATATATATATATATATTTATATGAATAAATAATATTATTTTAAACATAATTATAATTTAAATTTTTTTTTTATAAAATTATTTTTTATTTAAAAAGGTTTTTAAAAATATAATTTTCTGATATTATTATATAAATAAACAAATTATATTAAATTAGTTTTGAAACATTATATATTCTAAATAGAAATATTCTACCAACTGCTTATTAAGAAAGCATTAGATAATGCTCAACCAATTAAGCCATGTGACACTCCATTTATTTTCTATAACTCGGACACTGAAAAGTGAAAAGATATATGAACCGAACCAATTAAATTCTAAGTTTTTATCTATAGTTCTAATTACAATTGTTTATGATCCTACGTATAGATAATTATATAAAAACTCTAAACTTCTAAATGCATATAAAAACAATCATATATAAATTTTAAATTTGTCAATACTAAAACTTTATATCTTAATTACATACATTCACCCTGCGCATAAATCTAATAGTAATTCATTAGTTTCATATATTATATACTTATTTAGAATATGATAAAATTTTGTTAGTTTTATATTCTTATTTAAAGTTATGAACTTACGATATGCATAAATCTAATGTTATATGTATCCATGATTCTCTTTTCTAAAAAAGAACAAATAAGATTTTCTGTGTATAAGTTATTATCTTTTTACTATATACATGTCTTATGGACATGCATCAAATTAAGGTTTTCCAAATTTGTAATCATTAGATAAACAAAGAAATGATTATTGCCAAATACAAAATTTTCTGTTTCTTTAAAAATGATGTTGTAGGCTATTTAAAGATATGGGGTTATTATTTTTTTATACATTCATTATAAAGATCTTTTTGAGAGGGTGAAAACTAAAATTCTAATATTTTCTCCCAAAATTGAAGGCTTTGCCGTTACGATTCCGTGAGATGGCTTCACCACCGTTATCCTTAGATTGCTGGTCCTCTAGATCTCATGCAACTGAACTTCGAGCACCTTAGCTTTGTCGATTTCGAACGAGTTAAATCAGTTTGCTCATCTTGGCTATCTGGTTCGAGACAATCTAAACCAAACAATAAGATCCCTTGGATGATTCTATTCCCCGAGGAAATTAATTACTGTCTCTTGTTCAATCCTGAAAATAAAGAAGAAAAACTCTACAAAACTCAACATCTTGACAAACACTGGGCAGATAGTTTATGTTTAGCGACTTCTAGAAGCTGGCTTTTGATGGAGATTTTTCATGAAGTCCCTCTTTATATTTTTAATCTTTTAACCCTCGAGAGGATCGATCTACCTAAAACTTTATCGTATGGATTTGACTCTCCCATATTGTGGATAGACAAGAGAAGCAAAGATTACCTTATTATAAGAGAAGATCTTGCTTATTTCAAGAAAGGAGATAACTCGTGGAAAAAGAAATCGCGGTACAGTTGTCAGATTACCAAAATGGCATGGTATTCAAAGATCACAAGCTCTATGGTCTCACCGAAGAAGAACTTTGTATTTTCGACTTTTCTGGTGAGTTCCCTCTGCAAGTTTCAAGAGTTAGTGTAAGGGGATGCGTAAAACTAGAAAAAGTATGCCGGATGAGATGGTCTGAACAAGTAAATCTAGAACTTTTCATATTGGACATCACACAATATTCATAACACTTCCCCTTGATGTCCATTATACCAAGTGCTTCAAAACGCCGTAGATGCCACCTCGTTAAAACTTCACCAGGAAAACCCAATGGGAAAAACCATTGTTAAGGAAAAAGATTGCAGCGTAATGACTTCCCCTCATGTGTACATATGTCGAGATCTTTGAGACAATGTTTCTTGACAGTAGCAATAGATAGCTCCTTAGTGAATAAACCGACCAAACTGTCACTTGAATGAACTTGTAGGATACAAACATCGCCATTCTTCTGAGTCTTTATATGGTTGATCTTATTCTTTGATTCTCTTGATCTTAGAAATTTGAGCGTTGATAGAATTTATGATTGAATTTCTAATATCCTCCTTGGATGTCTATCGTTAGTGTGTTCTTTGTTGCCTTATTAAAACCTTGTCGAATAAAAACCCAGTAGGATAATAACCATGATAAACACACATTATCACATTTCTTCCTCTGAAAGAAATATCTTCAAGATATGCATTACAGTCGAGTATATCTCTTTTGTGAATTGAGATTAAACAGAATAAACTCTTTTGATTTCTATTATAATATTTATGTCTTTAGAATTTTGGTCTATATCTCTCTTTTGACGTAAATAACAATTTATTAGTCTATTAATACTTCAAGTCAAATATCTTTACATACAGCCATATAACCATTCCTCTTATACATAAGAGTTATTCATGCTCTTATTGTAAAGTTACTTTTATGACTTTTTTATTGTCATATTAATCACATCTTTAGTCACATAAAAGATTAGTAACTTTACTCAAATAACACTTTAAGTATGGTACTTGAAGACCAAACATATATGAGCATCTTAATATACAGATCTTTAAGATAATATTTCACTCTTAGACATTCCATTTGGAATACATAAAGACAATAGGGTATTGTCAAGAGTTTTATTCCAAAATACAAATGTTTATAACTCTTCGTGAGTTTTTATTATATTCAAATCAATAATCTCTTGATCTATAATCTCTGGATAAATACAAATCGTGTATTGTTTAACTTTAAATATTTCATATATCACATAAGCATATTTCGATCAAATAGCTAGAGTTCCTGGAAACATGATTTTGATATCATCGATCCATCATGAATATTATCTTTCAGAGATTATCGTTTCAGTGGGTCATGTAATTCAAGTTCTCCCTTTATTGCCAGACTGATAAGAAACTTAAAAATAGTTGCATTGACCACATGAGACTATGTCTTTTCATAATCAGTTTCACTTGATTTTTCTTTGGTGCAACGACTCTATTCTTTTCCACTTGTTTTACACCTTTGTGTATGAACTACTGGTTTAAATACATATCTCTATTATAAGAGTTACATCTTTGTATATTTTTTCTTTCTGATTTGGTCAATCATTTCACTGTGTACACTTTTTAATAGACTTTCTTTCATGATCCTCTTTCTCATTTATCATGTCAACTGCTACTTTGCATGTATATATATCATCGACGTCGATTTGCTTATCGGTTCCATTTTATTTCATACATGACTTAACTTAATTGAGATCTCTTCATTCTCTTAGGTACCTGAATTTCTTTCAGTCATGTTTAATGTCTCTTCTGTAGATCATTCACAAATTCTATTTCTTCGTTTTGATCATTTTCCATGTATGTTCCTTTTCACTTACGAGGATTCTTATCTTTCGAACCAAGATGTCTACAACGCTTCAGGCGTGTTTAGCAGTTTGATATTATTCTTCTAGAATATCAATTATTCTTGGATCATTTACAGCTGGTATATATGATTTAATCACTCTATTTACATGGGTTAGTAAATATGTGGCACCTGCTTTGCTAAGCTCTGTAACTGAATCATGTTTTGGACTTGTTTCACATTCTCTTTAGTCTGCGGATCAATGATAATTCATATCAACTTTTTTTTTTCCAGCTGTTTATTTTCTTTCCCTTATGTTGGAAATACCAATTCACTTTTAGTATTCATATCGAGCCTTACTTATATCCTTCAGGGATGGCTTTAGATTCTTAAGTATCAATGGAGATTTATGTGGGAGTCGATTTCACCCTACTGTCAAATAAATCGTAAATAAGGAAACTTCGGAAAATCCTAAGTTTCCAGAGGAACCGGCTATCTGCGAGAACCGCACAACAAAGATTAAGATGACTAAAACACTTAGAATAAAAACGAAAATAAGAGAGGTTTGAAAGCAAGAAGGTTCTTATTTCGAATCTGCGTTGAACTGGTTACAAAAAGAGTAGCCGTAAACGTAAGAACTTAGAAAACCCTAATCGAGACGCAGCTCGCTAACAGAAAAACGGAAAGATTCCTAAAATGCTAACTTTGGTGGTGAGAGCTCTGAATTTCGTGTCTATGCTTCTGCCCTAGACCTCCTCTTTATATACTCCTCATCTTGGCTATCTGATCTTTCCATTTCGCCCAGATTCGACTTAAATCGGGAACTTTCCATTCTTCTCGATCCTTCCTTTTCTTCTGCAGAAATCTTCTATTTCTCTTCAAATCTTCCTTTTATGTTTAAACTTGACTTTTATTTTCTTTCTGCGAGTAAACCGTCAAAACGTTATCAAATCCGCGGGTTTGATTCCGTTGAAATCGCGAGATGGGTTTTATCGCGTTTTAGGTCCTTCCGGACCGTTTTGCGATAAAAACCGTTTTCCGACTTTTACGGAATCGTTT